GGGCCATTCTAAAGTTCCGTTTGGTTGGCTCTACGCGTGTCGGCGCAGTGCGTTTCGGCAGGTGAGGGCAGTCGTGAAGCAGTTCCCTGGCCTTCGCTTCAAAAGCTTTGGCTTGGGGCCAGATCGCAGCTCGGTCGCATCGTCTGCACCTTCAAGTTTTGTGGTTTCAGTATCCGTTTGGGCTGTGGACCATGACCCCCAATTGCAAGGCCACGGGTGCGTGCTCCGAGAGGACCGATTCTGTTCGAGATTTGGATGTGAGCTTTTGTTTCCGACATCCACGGGTCCGAAGGAACGTATAAAAATTTAATCACATTAACAGAAACAAGCACTCGGCACTGGGCTGGCGTCGCGAAGCACCGAGGACTTTGACTTGCTCGGAGCAGTTCCCAGTGAACTTCACACCAACTCGAAGCCCACCCCAGCAGGATCCACCACAGAAGCCCCCCTAAACCCTAAACCCTAAGCCCTAAACCCTAAACCCTAAACTTAAGTTCAGTGGCGTTTTGGGCTCAGGGAGCAGAGGGCTTGTCAGAGTTTGCGTGACCCTATCTCAGATGGCTACGACTACACGCCCCAACACCCTCAGCCGAATGCAAAACCCTAGTGGGGCAGGGCGAACGCGGTTATGTTGGTGAACCCTCAAACACTATGCCCTATACACCCTAAACCCTAAACCCTAAACCCTAAACCCTAAACCCTAAACCCTAAACCCTACACCCTAAACCCTAAACCCTAAACCCTAAACCCTAAACCCTAAACCCTAAACCCTAAACCCTAAACCCTAAACTCAAACCCGCAAACCCCTCTCAGTCCATAAGGGTGGAGCACAGAAGTCTCAGGCTTGCTGCCGCAAGCCACCTTGCAGCCCTCCTGCTTCACCTACGTCTCTGGGACCTTCTTGGGGTTTAGGGTTTAGGGTTTAGGGTTTAGGGTTTCGGGTTTCGGGTTCAGGGTTTAGGGTTTAGGGTTTCGGGTTTCGGGTTTGGGGTTTGGGGTTTAGGGCTTAGGGTCTAGAGGTGAGGGCTTCAGGGTTGGTTTCCGCTGGTTCATTGGACCTGTGATTTTGAGAGCCGGTTTCGGCTGATGTGAGTTCGGGGTTGTTAACCTAAACCCTAAACCGTGAACCCTGCACCCTAAACGCTAAACCCTAAACCAAGGGCTTGGGGCCTAAGGTTCTTTAGGGTTTTTGGTTTTTTGGGGGCATTTCCGCTTCTGAAAGCTCGGGTGACTGCTTAAACCCTGCAAGTATTTTCTTTCCCCGACCCTAAAGCCCAACTACCCCTCTTTAGGGTTCCTTTAGAAGGATTGTAAAATATTTTGGGGTATATAAGGGGTACCCCTATTTTCTGATTCGATGTGAGAGTTTTCATAGGTTACAGGATGTATGTTTCACTTCTTACGATATCGTTGTTGGCTCAAGCCTGGAAAAGGGTGTGCTGGTAGATTAGCCCAAACTTAATCTCCGTTCATGGTAGCGGAGCGACTCGGTTGAAGCCGCTTCGTATGTGTGGAACCTCTTGCCGCAGAGCACGAAGAAGCAGGATCATCCAGGAACGTTGGGCACGATTGGTTCGACGTTTGCAGCGGATTCGCCGGCTGCAACGCATTTGGCACAACTTGGGATTGCATCTCCAGACTTTGCTGGGGACGCAGACTTTCAGGAGGTTGTTGTCAAGGACACACCCTCGGGAGGATTGAACCACTTGGGCGAATCGGCCCAAGGAGGTAGATAAAGGAGAAATGGCAACTCCAGAACAGCTAGTGCAAGAAATTGCAGCGCTGAGGCAAGAACTCGCGCGCCAAGCGCAGCAACACCAACAGGACTTGGAGCAAGTGAGAACAGAAAGTCAGCAGCGGACAAACGAGGCTACGCAAGCGGCCTTAGCTGCGCAAGGGCAGCTGGGCACGATACCGAATGTTGTCCGAGAGATGGGACAAACATTGCAGAATGCATTGAGAGAGCGAGACAAAGAACTGGTGGAGGCTATGAGAAGCTCGTCGAGCGACAAAGGGAAGATGGTGTTGGTAGACACAAAAGGGCTTGGAAAGCCGAGCATGTTTTCGGGAGATGCAGAACAGTATCTTCCTTGGAGGCACAGAATGACGGCATATGTGTGCTCAATCTATCCAGAGTTACGAGAAGTTCTGGAATGGTGCGAAGAAAGAGAGAAAAGCATTTCGTCGGATGAGCTATCGGAAGCTTTTGGCGAGAAGGCCGACGAAATAGATCGAATACCAAAGCTCTTCGACAAGTCAATGGAGTTGTCGTCTGCATTGCAGATGGTGACTGCGAAAGAGCCGTTTGCGATTGTCATCAACTGCAACACGAACGGGTTTGAGGCTTGGCGAAGACTAGCTCGGAGGTATGATCCGGCTACAGCATCCAGGAAAAGATCCATGCTCAAGTCGGTGATCAACCCCCAGAAACAAAAGCTTGAACACCTGCCTCAAGCGATCGAAGAATGGCTTGATGCAATCGCATCGTATGAGAAAAGAAAGGATGCTTCCGGAAATCGAGGAAAGATTCCAGAAGAGATCAAGATTGCAGCTTTGGAATCCATGTTGCCACAAGACTTGGAAGCTCATGTGCAGTTGAACCAGTCGAAGTTTGCGGGTTTCGAAGACTTGCTTGAAGAAGTTACACGGTATGTGGAACACCGCACGGGCAAGACTTTGAAAGCGTTTTCGACGACCCAAATTGCTGGCAAAGAAGCCCTCGGCGACCCGATGGATGTTTCATCTGTTGGGAAAGGCCTAGGCAAGCACCAGCAGAAAACGAAGTTTCTGGGAACCTGCAACAACTGTGGAAGAACAGGACACAAGGCAGCCGATTGCTGGTCTTCAGCAAAAGGCGCCAAGGGAAGCTACTCAAAACAAGGTCCAGGGAAAGGAACACAAGGAAAGCCCAAGGGGTATCCAAACCCCAAAGGAGGTCAGCCGAATCCCAAGGGGACTAAAGGTCCCAAAGCGGGAAAAGGCAAGGGAAAGACTTCCAGCGGAAAGGGCAAAGGCAAGGCGAAGAAGGGCAAAGGAAAAGGAAAGTACACCAACAGCCTAGAAGAAGCCACTGGTGACGAAGAGTGGCAAGAAGAAGGAGCCCAGAACGAAGAGCCTTGGGAGCAAGACGAATGGACAGGAGAACAAAGCTGGGAGGAATGGCCGGAGGAAAGCGAATGGAATGAAGGAAACGGGCTGCTAATAGGCGGCCTGGAAGGAAGGAAGGAGAAGAAGGAAGAGAAGACAAAAGAGAAGACAGAAGAAAGAGAGACAAAGAAGGGAAAGAGTTCCGCAGCCGTTTCGGGCCCAAGCGGGTCCGGAGGCCCAACAAGGAAAATGCCGGGTTTCGGGGACCGCCTGCGAAATGCAGGAATAGACCCGGAACAGCTGGAAGGACTGAACGACGATGAGGCACAAGAACTACAGGACGCATTGCTTGAAAGCTTGGCGGCGCTCCAGGCTAGGAGAGCTAAAGCACGGAATACGCAACCAGAAGAAGCAGTGCCAGCCAAGGCAAAGGCAAAGGAGGAGGCCAAGGCCAGCTCGAGTGCTTCGCTCGGTGCGCGGCCTAGACCTGCCTTCGTGAGACCGCCTTCAGGGCCGCCGCCTCCCAAAGAGAAAGTGTCAGGAAGCACAAAGCCGGCTGAACCGGTGAAGCCACCGTCGGTTCGAGCGAAGGCAGCGCAAATGCTGCCGAGACCAAAGTACACCGGTGAAAGTTCCACGCCAAAGTCCGGTGGGAGAGTTCCAGTTCCAGGGTCCGTTCGGCCCGCGGAACCAAAGGGACCACCGCCAGTTAAGACAAGAGGAAGTCGGGAGCGTGGAAGGTCACTGGAAAGAGCCCCGAAGTCACCTAGGACTTCGGGCAAGGAGCCCAAGAAGCACGAAGAGGAAAGGAATAGAGAGAAAGCGAGCGGAAGCGAGGACCCCAAGAAGCACGAAGAGGAAAGGAATAAAGAGAAAGCGAGTGGAAGCGAGGAAACCAAAGGAAGCAGATACAAGCCAAAGAAGAAGCTGACGCTCAGGGTGATGCGAGAACTAAAATCGAAGGAAGATTGGGCGAAAATGAACTACAGCCAACGCAGAGAGCACCAAGAGAGAATCCGTCACCTACTGCCGCCTGGAACCGTTGGACAACAGATCCTTAAGAAGCAAGGAAGTGCGTGCAGCACGTGTCGGAGCAGAAGAAGAAAGACTCGGAAAGCTGTGCAAGAATACCTTGCGAGGAAAAGGAAAGAATACGAGAGCCTCAAGAAGCCGCCGCCAGTTGGACTCGCGAGAAGTTTACTGCGTAGAGAAGGTATGCTAAAGCCACCGGGAGAAAGAAAGGGACCCAGCAAGAAAGGACCCAAGGAAGAGAAAGAAGCTTCGGAAGAATCCGAAGGGAAGAGTGTGGAGCCCCCGAGCAGCGGCCAGGAAGAATGGTCGGAGGAAGAGGAGCCCAAGGAAAGCGACGAGACCGTGGAGGTCAACGAAGAAGAGGAGGAGCAAGGACCTCCCGGAAGAAAGAAGCCAACAAGCCACTCGGGCGTTTCGCCCGCTGGAGGCTTTGAGCTAGAAGTAGAAGAGCTCCAGCCGGAACGTCGACCGAAGGAGCCAAGCGAGAAAGAGAAGGCCCGCGCTAGGGAAGAGCACGCAGCAAGGATGCGAGCTCTGCAAGGTCAACAGCTTGCGCCAGCGGAAGCAAAGCCTAAGGCTGAAGCAAAGGCTATTGCGAAAGCGAGTGACGCGACAGCAGACGCCACGTCGATGTCTTCGTCGGCGGCGATGCAGAACATGCTGCAGGGCAGCCTGTTAGGAAGTCTCACGCAAGATCGGGGCCGCCTGCTAAAGAGGCTCGAGGAGTTCAAGAAAGAAGAAATGAGCGAAGACGACTTTGAGGAAAAGTCGCAGATCGAGGCCGAGCTGGAAAGCATCCTCGAACAGATCGCAAAGTTGAAAGAACGCGGATTGGCCAGGCCTGCGCCCAAAGCAGCAGGACGACTGGACCAGTCAGTGCACGATGCGAGATATCGTGCGGCCATCGCAAAAGGGATGTCACACGCAAAGGCGTGGCAGGAAGAGAAAGGAAGAAGGCGAGCTGCGCAGCAGCGTCAACAAGGAGAAAAGGAGCGCGCCACGCTCAATGTGGAGATGCAAGAGGCCTGGGCAAAGCACTTCACCACAGTGCCCGGGCGCAAAGAAGACAAAGTGCAAGTCGACGCCGTCGAGACCGTGACCATCGACAGCAGCGGCAAGGAGATCGACCCAAGCACAGTCCGGAGTTCGGTCGCGGTGCCGCTGACGAGAAAGGAGAGAACGTACTACCGCCAGGAGTACGAAGAAGAGCTGAAGCCAAGAAAGGAGAAGGTGGAAAAGCCGCCTGACCCGGAGAGACGGCGGAGAGTCAACGAAAAGAGAGCCATGAGAAGAAAAAGGCTTGCAAACAAGAACAAAGGAAAGGGCAAGCAGAAGGGAAAGCAAGAAAGCAAAACCCGAGGAGAAAAGAGAAAGGAGCCGCCCGAACAAGACGAAGACGAAGAAGATGAAGACGAAGACTGGGGCGACTGGAAGAAGCCACCGAGAGATCCCGATGAACCTCGGGACCCTCCTGAAGGAGAAGCACTTGTGGCGTCGGTCGAGACGACTATGGCCACGAACGCCGTTTCGGCGTCCGGAGGCCGTGGTTCGCAACGCGGCCGGGAACGCGTCGAAGTGAACTTCGACAGCGGAGCCGCTGTGACGGTAGTGCCACTGAAGTTTGGCAACGGAAACGAGAAGCCCAGAGAAGAAATGAAGTTCAAGACAGCGAGCGGTGAAAACATCGCAGACCATGGACCCATCAAGTTGAAGGGCACCACGTCGACCGGGAACAATGCAACACTGCATGGTCGTCTGGCGGACGTCCATCGTGTTCTTGGTTCGGCTTCGGATATTTGCAGGACTCACCACGCCGTCCTCGGAGACAATGGTGGGTATCTTATCCCGAAGCAAAATGCGTTTGGCAAGGAGTTCAACATGATGATGCGAAAGCTGGTGAGAAAATACCGCGACGACCCCCGCAGCGCTACCAGACTCCACGTAAGGCGCGGAGTCTATGTGTTCGACTTGTCATGCTCCCCTTTTCCGGGGCAGCAAGACGCGTAAGACCAAAGGTGAGAGGTAGCGAAGTTTCACCTGTAGAGGTTTCACCTAGTGACCTGGAGGCTCCGCCGGTTGGCGAAAACCAGGGGCCCGTAGTTGAGAGAGAGAGAGTTGAGAGTAGAGAGGAAGAAGGAATGAATGAAGGAGAGGAAAGGACTGAAGGAAGAATGGAAGAGCCAGAAGACGCGCCTGGTGAAGAACAAAGAAAAGTGAACGTTCCTTTGGGACCGTCGCAGCCAACTGCGAGAGAGATCGCAGAGCATGAGGCGAGCGGACACGCGGTTCACAGGAGCTGGTGTGTGCATTGCATGCGCGCACGCGGCAATGTGCAAAGCCATCCAAGAACGGTTCGTTCTGGAGAGGGAGAAGTACCAACCTTGCACGCTGACTACTTCTTCCTAGGCAGCGACGGGGAACGAGAGGACATCATGCCGCACCTAGTGGTGCGATGCGACAGAACCAGAAGGACATGGGCAACCTCGTTGCCGCAGAAAGGAGTCCACCCTTTCAACACAAACTGGTTTTGTTCCATAGTGCGTGAAGCAGGATGGAAACGCATGATACTCTTTTCAGATGGCGAACCAGCGCTTGTTGCACTAAAGCAAGCCGTGGTCGAAAACATGAGGGACGTTGAGATCACTTTGAAGGAATCGCCTACGTCTGTCAACGAAGAGAACGCGCCGAGCAACGGCTATGCCGAATGTGCGGTTCGAGAGGTAAAGAGAATGATTCGAGCTACGCTGTCAGACTTGGAAAGCAAGTTACAGCTCAAGATCGACCCGAACCACAGCATACTTACGTGGATAGCGAGACACGCAGCGTTCCTGTTGACAAGGTTTCGAATAGGTGACGACGGCAAGAGCGCCTACCAAAGAGCCGTGGGAAGAGAATGGAGAAGGCCCACCGTGGTGTTTGGCGAGCAGATCTTGTTCAAGCCTGTGGGTGCTTTGGGCAAGAAAAGAAGCTCACCGTTGGAACCGCGAGTAGCAATGGGACGATATGTGGGGACAGCGAGTAGGAACGCGGACCTCCTCGTGATGACACCCACTGGAGTCGTCAAAGGACATTCTCTCCATAGGCGAGCCGAAGAAGACCGATGGTCGAAAGAAGGATTCGACCAGCTGAGAGGTCTACCGTGGAAATGGACCAATCCAGTCGAACGTGCGCCACCGAACCGAGTGGACATGCCGGAACTTGTGGGAGAACAGCCAAAGCCTGATCCGAAAGAGTTTAGAGCGAGAAGCCTCTATGTACTCAAGTCGGACTTGGCGAAGTATGGCTACACCACACTGTGCCCCGGCTGCGAAGCACAGATGTTGGATTTGCCACAGCGAAGCCACAATGAGGAATGTCGATTTCGCATTCAGAGACATCTGATGGAAACCGAAGAAGGAAAACAGAGAGTTCAAAGGGCGATAGAACGAATGGACAAAGACTATTCCGCCAAGAACAAGAAGAAAAGAAAAGCTCAAGAAGAACCCGCGTTGGAAGGCCAACCTGCAGAAGGAGAGGTTGCAGCTGAAGAAGCTGCAGGAGCACCATTGGAACGTCCAAGCCAAATGCAGGTGGACAACCCAAGTCGAGAGTCTCGAAAGCGAGAAGCGGAAAGACATGTCGAAGATCTTTATCATGAAGAACAAGAAACAGATGAGCCCGAAATTGTCAGAGCAAACATTCAAGGTGGAAGTTCAGGATCTGGTGGAGAACACGCGGACCTGTCGTACAAGCAGGTGAAAGATCCAGAGCAGTTGGACGATGTGAGCTACCTGGAACATGAATTCCACTCACGAGGCATGCGATGCACAAGAAAGGAAGCAGAAGTGATATCCAACCTGGTTGGTTCACTAGGTGTGGATGTCAAAGCATCTGTTCCTTTGAATGAAGGACTGTGCCTAAGTGTGGAAGACAAGGGCTGGCGACTTCAGAAGCAAGATGAAGTTGAAGCCTTGTTCAGAAAGCTCGAAGAAGAGAAGCCAACGCTCGTGGTGGGACTACCGCCCGATGGACCATTTGCGGGAGTCCAACGAAGCTACAATTCTCTTCAGAAGGTGAGCAAAGAGAAAGAAAAGTCAGTGCTGGAAGTTGGAAGGAAGCAGGTGAGAACCTGTGTCGAAGCATATAAGTTCCAACTAGGGCAGCAAAAGTACTACCTCCAAGAGTGCCCCAAGGGTGCAAAATCTTGGGAGCACACCCAGTACCAACAACTGAGTGAGGAGTCCTATGTGGTCGAAGGTCCAATTTGCAGATGGACCGTGAACAAAAGCGGTGGAAACTTGGAAGGAAGTTCTTTCAAGAAAAGAACGAGATGGATCACCAACTCTGCCACGCTAGCAGCAGCACTGCGAAAGACATGTGCTCGAACAGGACAAGAAAGAGTCTGGAAGAGAGAACTTGCGTTCGAGGAGGGGAAAGTTGCAGCAAGACTGTGCTACCCTCCGAAACTCGTGCAAGCCATTGCCAAAGGCATCAAAGCACAACTAGTGCTTGATGGTGAACTCAAAGAGCTTGGTTCAGTTGGAGGACCTGACCCTCATGAAGAACCGAACTTCGAAGAACATCATTACGAGACGTTGCCTAAGGCAGATGAGCTCTACGTCAAAGAACCGGTCATCGATGCAAATACAGGTGCAGAACTCGATTCAAAGAAGGTAGCGAAGGCACGATTGACAGAACTCGAATGGGTGAAGAAACAGAACGTCTATACCAAAGTGGACGAAGCGACTTGCTGGCAAGAAACCGGAAGGCCACCCATCACGTTGAAGTGGGTAGACAGAAACAAGGGAGACAACGTGAACGAGAACTACAGAAGCCGACTTGTAGTTCGAGAAGTCAAGTCTCAAGGGCAAGCAGCCTTGCTGCCTGAACATGCGTTGTTCAGCAGTATGCCGCCACTTGAGGCAGTGAAGCTTCTGTGTTCACTCATGACCACTCTACGCGTTTCGCGAAGAGGAGGCAAGCTGTCCTTGCGGTTGATAGACATCAGCCGTGCCCATTTCTATGGTCGTGCAACTCGTAGAATCTTTGTGACACTTCCAGAAGGAGATGAATCTCCGGGAAAGTGCGGACTTCTACTCAAGACCATGTATGGAACCCGTGACGCATCAAGTACTTGGCAAAGAGACTACAGCGAACTTATGGCAAAGCACGATTTCCGCGCTGGAAAGGCGTGGCCATGCATCTTCTACAGCGAGAAGGAAGATGTCAGACTTCTGGTGCATGGTGACGATTTCTTTTGTTTGGCAGATGACGAAGGCCACGCGTATCTAGACAAAGCACTGAGCGAACGGTATGAGTATCGATGTGACGGACATATCGGACCAACACATGGAGACCAGATGGTCGTGTTAAACCGTCTGATCTGCTATGACAAGGAGACCGGCAAGGTTACCTATGAAGCAGATCCCCGTCATGTGGAAGCTCTAGTCAGAGAGCTTGGTTTGGAAAAGGCCAAGGCTGTAAGGACACCTGCGGAAAAGAAGAAACAGGGAGAAGCAATGAAGACCCTAGAGATGCCACCAATGAACGACGCGATGCAGCGAAGCTATCGCTCAATAACTATGCGAGCCGCGTTTTTGGCACAGGATCGGCCAGATATCGCGGAAGCCACAAAGAGCCTGGCCAGGCACATGAAGGCACCTCATGAAGCTGCCTGGTCGGACTTGAAGAGGCTTGGAAGATACCTGAGTGGAAAGCCAAGACTGGTATACGAGTACCATCCTCAACGATTCCAAAAGGACCTGACCGTGTACTGTGATTCAGACCACGCTGGTTGTCTCATCACGCGGAGGTCCACAACGGGAATTGTGACCATGTATGGCTCACACTGTATCAAGCATAGTTCCAACGTGCAGACAACCGTGAGTCTGTCGTCTGGAGAAAGTGAATTCTACGCGATAGTGAAAGCCAGTGCAGTTGGACTGAGCCAACAGGCCCTACTGCACGATTGGGGTATCCAAGTAAACCTACGGATCCTCAGCGACAGCAGTGCCGCAAGGGGTACGTGCTCAAGGCAAGGTCTGGGGCAAACCAGACACGTACAAACAAGATACCTATGGGTTCAAGAGAAAGTAGCACGCAACGAGCTCAAGCTCGAGCGAGTCTCTACGGAAAAGAACCTGTCGGATCTGTGTACGAAACCACTGCCCGAGATTGCCGTTGAAAAGCATTTGAAGACCATGGGTCTGAAGCACTACGAGAAAAGAGCTGAAGGAGGAAAGCAACTGGTGTGAAAGCAAAGGCCAACAACAGGAGTAGAGGACTTTGAAGGTTAGAGGCCACTGGATGGAAAACCCATCACCTGGCCTAGGAGGGGTGATTCGATGTGAGAGTTTTCATAGGTTACAGGATGTATGTTTCACTTCTTACGATATCGTTGTTGGCTCAAGCCTGGAAAAAGGTGTGCTGGTAGATTAGCCCAAACTTAATCTCCGTTCATTTTCGGAAATCCCCAAATTGGCCCTAAATCAACCCTATGACCCAAACCCCAAACCCTAAGTCTTCACCATGAGGGCGGCAGTTGAGAACGCGAAGGAGATTTATCACACACCCGGCTGGATGCCGAAGACGAGTTGGGCACTACCTGAGTACGCACGTTCTGCACGCTAAACCCTAAACCCTAAACCCTAAACCCTAAATCCTAAATCCTAAACCCTAAACTCATGGCACGAACCAGGAACCAGGGTCCAGAAACCCCGGAGAAGGATCTCTAGTCAGTGCGATGAGAGAATACTTGCAAGATACACATGATCCTGCAGGAAGCCATCAGAGTTATAGAGGGTTTAGGGTTTAGGGTTTAGGGTTTAGGGTTTAGGGTTCGAGAGGGACAGACCGAGACACAAGGGAGAAGCTCAACAGGTCGACCAGAGATGACGTGCAGATGGATGCGGACTTTTTCTAAACTCCAACCCTAAACCCTAAACCCTAAACCCTAAAGCCTAAACCCTAAACCCTAAACCCTAAACCCTAAGCCCTAAGCCCTAAGCCCTAAACCCTAAACCCTAACCCTAAACCCTAAACCCTAAACCCTAAACCCTAACCCAAAAACCCTAAATGTTAGTCCCAAAACCTACCCCCCCAAAAATTCCTCAGAAAGGCTCGCAGACCGAACCCTCAAGATTTTCAATAGGGTGTAGGGTTTAGGGTTTAGGGTTTAGGGTTTAGTTGTTTAGGGTTTGTTTAGGGTTCCGGGTTGGTGGCCCTGAGCCCTAAACCCTACAAACCTTACTGCAAGCCCTGCAAACCCTAAGCCCTAAACCCTAAACCCTAAACCCGAAACCCTAACCCTAAACCCTACAAACCTAAGCCCTAGGGTTTAGGAGTTGAGGGGGTGTGGGAGTTGACGTTTTAGGGCGGGCTGGGTTGCTAGAGGAACCCTCAACCCCTAAACCCTACAACACACTGAACCCTGAACTCTATAAACCCTAAACCCGAAACCCTAAACCCTAAACCCTCAACCCCTAACCCTTAGTCGTGTCGCCCAGGCGAAGACCTCGGGGAAGCGGAGCCACTAGCCCGGCGTGCGTGGGAGGCGGTCTCCAGCTCCCCTAAACCTCCTAAGACCCCAAGACACTAAGTAAGGGGTTTAGGGTTTAGGGTTTAGGGTTTAGGGTCTAGGGTCTAGGGTTTAGGGTTAAGACCCGAAGACCCTAAGACCATAAGACCCTAAGGGGTTCAGGGTTTATGGGTTTAGGGGTTAGGGTTCAGGGTTTGGGGTTTGGGGTTTAGGGTTTAGATTGAGGTGGATCAAATGGGTATGTACATCTAAAACCACAAGCCATCAGCCCGGCGGCTTGGTGTTTAGGGCTTAGGGTTTAGGGCTTAGGGTTTAGGATGTAGGGTTTAGGGTTTGGGGTTTAGGGCTTAGGGTTTTACGGTTCAAAGCTGCAACGCCCTGAACCTCGGAACCCAAAGCCGGATCAAAGATGCCCGTGAAACAGGGTTTAGGGTTTAGGGTTTAGGGTTTAGGGTTTGGGGTTTAGGGTTTACGGTTTAAAGCTGCAACGCTCCGTGGCCAGGGAAGCCTTCGCCACTTCGGCGTGGATTCCCAGGAGAAGTCGTTCCAAAAAAGGTGCCCGAAACCTGATGCCCAAACCCTAAACCCTAAAACCTATGAACCTTAAACACCCTAAACCCTAAACCCTAAACCCCAAACCCTAAACCCTAAACCCTAAACCCTAAACCCCAAACCCTACACCCTAAACCCTAAACCCTAAACCCTTCTTGGAGTGGCACGGGGTTGTTGGTCGGTGCAGGGCTTCAGGTCGGTGCACTTAGGCTTTAGGTTTTAGAGTGTTTAGGGTTTAGGGTTTAGGGTTTAGGGTTTAGGGTTTAGGGTTTAGGGTTTAGGGTTTAGGGTGAGTTTGTCCGCCGGTCCGGCGTGCTTGAGCTCTGCGGCGAGCCGATCTTGGTTTAGTGATTGTTGAGAGGAACTTGAGTCTTGAGGGTTTAGGGCTTGAGGTTGTGAAGGTTCAGGGGAGCCTTTGGGTTTTGGGGTCGAGAGTGCGGGTTCGGAGAAGCTTGAACGTTCAGGGTTTAGGGCTTGAGGTTGTCAAGGTTCTGGAGACGGTTGGGGCTTTCATTTTTCTTTTCTGAAGATGCCTGAAGCAATCGGTTTTCATAAACGTCAACCCGGCATGCTTTCTACTACACGGGTTGGGATGCTCCCCCTTGCATTAACAGTCCTTATTAATAGGGATTATCGTACCCCCGACTATCATCCCTAGAAAGGACTGCCAGTATAGGGGGGCACACCCCCATAAACAGGCATGGTCCGTGGCCACGGATGCGACGTACAGGGTGCAAGGCTTGTCGTACGGCCTGGTGTCCCTGTGCGGCATGATACGCTGCAAAGTTGCTGGCTCTTGGAGGCGGTCGTCTTGGGTTTAGAGTTTAGGGTTTCGGGTTTAGGGTTTAGGGTGTTTTCCAGGAAGCGAGAGCGGGGAAGTACATGCGGAGCTCTTCGACGTCTTGAAATCTCACTTAGAACAGCGTGCGAGGCCGCCTCCTGACCAGCTACACTGCGATTGGCTCCCAGGTTTGGGAAGAGTGTTGCGACAGAGATTCGGCTCTGGGCGTGGTGCAGTGCAGGGCATGGAGCACTTGATTCGTAATCGGCGTTTTGATCATCGGCAGGGCACCTCCCTAAACCCGAAACCCTAAATCCTAAACCCTAAATCCTAAACCCTAAACCCTAAACCCTAAACCCTAAACCCTAAACCCTAAACCGTTTAACCCTTCCGCGTTGTGGAGCTGCGGATGCTCGTGGTCGTGGGCAGGCTGCGGGGGAGCCTCTGCCACCTCAGTTTAGGGTTTAGGGTTTAGGGTTTAGGGTTTAGGGTTTAGGGTTTAGGGTTTAGGGTTTAGAGCCTTTAGTCTTTAAATAGGCTTTAAGTTTCAGAGTGAGAGTTAGGGCGAAGTGAAAGGTTAGGCTTCATGTTTCAACCTTCAGGAGGGCTACTAAGATTCAGGCTTTCCTCCCTCCATTCGGTCTAAACCCCAAACCCTAAACCCTAAATCCCTCATTCGGTAGAGATTGTAAAAGAGGCGATTGCCGGGCTGGGCTTCGGGGCCGTAATAGTTTGGGAAAGTTTGGGGAAGGGATTCACAGCCCTGGGGCCCTAAACCCAAAATCAAAACCCAGAACCCACACCCTAAACCCTAAACCCTAAACCCTAAACCCTAAACCCTAAACCCTAAACCCTAAACCCTAAACCCTAAACCCTAAACCCTAAACCCTAAACCCTAAACCCTAAACCCTAAACCCTCCGAGGCCCGGAGCACCCGCGGTCGCTTTGCGCCTCCGCCGACCTCGGCCTGCTTCTCCTGGCGCGCGCCAGGCCCAAGGCGCGATGTTTAGGGTTTAGGGTTTAGGGTTTAGGGTTTAGGGTTTGGGGTTTAGGGTTTAGGGTTTAGGGTTTGGGGTTTAGGGTTTAGGGTTTGGGGTTTGGGGTTTGGGGTTTGGGGTTTGGGGTTTGGGGTTTGGGGTTTGGGGTTTGGGGTTTAGGGTTTGGGGTTTGGGGTTTGGGGTTGGGGTTTAGGGTTTAGGCTTTGGGGTTTGGGGTTTGGGGTTTGGGGTTTGGGGTTTAGGGTTTAGGGTTGTGAAACGATTAAGGGTTCATGTGAATAAGTTTCCAAGAGAGGTGGCTGAGTCTTGAGGTGTTTCGAGGAGACCTTGCAGGCACAGGGGCATGCGAGTTTAAGGTTTAGCGCTTAGGGTTTAGGGGTTTGGGGTTTATCCTCAACCCTAAACAGCACTTCAACAGCATGGTTTTTTAAAGGTATAAGCCCCGCATAGATGGAAGGCCCCCTGAAGCACCCATGGGCTTACGGAAGCTTAGGATTTGGGGTCCAGGTGCTCGTAAGGTCCGTTTAGGGTTTAGGGTTTAGGGTGTAGGGTTTTGGGTTTAGGGTGTAGGGTGTAGGGTGCAGGGTTTAGGGTTTTGGGCTTAGGTTAGGGTTTGGGGAATCTAGACAAGTACCCACGGTCCTGAGCCCTGAACCTTTCCCATGCCCAAACCCTACAACCCCCCCCCCCCCTCCCCCCCCACCCTAAACCCCAAACCCTACACCCTGAACCCCTACAAGCCTTAACCCCCAAACCCTTACCCTAGAACCCCTACACCCTAAAACTCCAAAAACCCTCAAGCCTCAATGTGCGGAGGGCTACACCCCCCCCCCCCCCCCCCCCCCCAAACCCTAACCCTAAACCTCCCAACCCTCAACCCTCAACCCTCAACCCTCAACCCTCAACCCTCAACCCTCAAACCCTCAACCCTCAACCCTCAACCCTAAACCCTAAACCCTAAACCCTAAACCCTAAACCCTAAACCCTAAACCCTAAACCCTAAACCCTAAACCCTAAACCCTAAACCCTAAACCCTAAACCCTAAACCTAAACCCTAAACCTTAAACCCTAAACCCTAAGCCCTCAAAGAACGGAAGGAGGGCGAGCCCCTGTTGCGGGCGGCCCTGGAAGGCTTTCAGAAGCAGCTGGGGGAGAGCCACCCCCAGGCGCCTGGCGGGGTTTAGGGTTTAGGGTTTAGGGTTTAGGCTTTAGGCTTTAGGCTTTAGGCTTTAGGCTTTCGGCTTCAGGCTTTAGGCTTTAGGGTTTAGGGTTTAGGGCCAGGGTCTAGGGTCTTGGGGTTTAGGAGGTTTGAGGGTTCTAGGGTTCTTCGGGGTTTTAAGCTTTCAGGGTTTCAGGGTCTTAGGGTTTTAGGGTTTTTGGCTTTTC